GGGGGGGGCGGTAGATAAATAACGTGAGCGAGGGAAACAGGGACGGGCAAGGTGATGAGAACCAGCCATCTAGCCATGCAGGAAGGGGGGTCTCTGGCGAGAGGGAAATAGAACAGGAAGAAGTTTCGAATGGAAACACGATGTCGTCGGAGAGTGAGAGAGGCTGCTATTTTGTCAGAGGAGACTGAAGAGTCCTCTGCGTCGCGTTGTTATGATTCTTCAATAATTTCAGTTTACACGGGATTGCAATGGTTGATAGCTCAAATAAAGGAGATGCTCTTCTAACGAAACAAACCTGTTGCAAGCATGCCATTTTCATTTTTAAAAACATTTAACAGTTAACTGCTTTATTGAGTTGCGGAGTGATCGAATCCAACGTGTCTCTCACTGAAAGGGGACTCACCTCGCATGTCGTGGGGGGTAAGGATCCACTCGCACCTGCTCGGCACCTGCTGCACGCTGGGGTGTTGACTGACTGAGGCGCGCCCGGGCAGCGCGTCCCGTCCCGGCCCGGCCCGCCAGCACCGCCCCGCCCGCCCGCCGCGCCCCGCAGCCTCCCACTCCGGACCATCGCCCCCCGCGCCCAGCTCCGCCCCGCCCGCCACGGCCCGCCACCCTCCCTGCCTTCATATTCTATTTGGGGGAGTTGGCCTAGTTTGCCCCTATCTGAAAATGGTAAATACACTAGAAAATTTGTGGAGTTAGATTTTTAAAAACATCAGATGGAACAGTAGTAACTAAATTTCCTGTTAAACACTAGAAAGTGTGCTACGTAGTGTGTTGATATCACTTTGCATGTGCACGCCAGTTGCACATGCACACTTTATTTATCAGTGTACTGATCGGTACGCAAAAGACTCTGAAGTGCACGCCCAGGTCCAGGTCCAGTTTAGTTCCGCTTGAACTGCAAAATAAAGTTCAACACCAATAGGTGGCAGAGGGAGAAAGAGGTGGGGGGGGGGTCAATTCCGTTGAGAGATTTCTCGCGCTTAATCACTATTTCAGTGACCGCCCTTGACTCTGCTGCGGTGAGCGTGCGGACTTCCTGCTGGGCCTGGAACTAGATCTCTGCCCTGGTGCCGGGAGACCGATGGAGAATCCGCCGGCGACTGACATTGAGCGGTGCGGCATCCCTGCCGCCAGCAACCTGCTCGACAACCCGAAGTGCGCGGTGACGCACTCGCAAGGACGCGGTGGGTCCCGGGCCCCCCAAGCTCCGAGGGCGGGTTTCTGTCCACGGCACACTCGCAGTAACGCGTTACCAGCGCTGGCGCGGCGCGGCCGGGAGCACCTCCTCGGCCGTTACGGCGAACAGGCCGTGGAGCGACTCAAGGACGTGAACCGACCGGGCCGGCCCAAGGAGGGGCAACAGCGCCGCGCAGCGCCCAGCCTGTCAACTTGTTTTCATTTTCACACACTCGGCCGTTTGACCGGCCCGCCTTTAGGCCCGCCCCCCGCGCGAGGAGCGCATCACGGGCGCTGGCTGTATTCGCAGTCCCGGGCGCGTTATCGACACGGCCGCGTCGTCGTTTCGTTTGGAAGCTGTCTGAGCGGAAATGTCAGACGGACCAGGCGGCGGGCGACCGCGCGGGTAACATCCTCCTCACTTCCACGGAGGTCAAACGGCAGAGAGTGTCGAATAACACGCGCGGGAAGAACACGGTGGTGCGGAAAGGGGGGCACTGTACCAGGTGGCTGATCAACCCCGCCCACTTCTGTAGTTGTACTGTACCGCACCAACCGCACGCACGAGTGCGGGCGGGCTTGCCTATCGCCCCTGCTCACGGCGCCTTACGGGCCGAGCGAGTAGGCAATCCGCCCCCACTCGTGCGTGCGGTACAGCACAAGTACAGAGGAGAGCAGGGTTAATCAGCCACCTGGTGCAATCAAACCAAACCAGGGCCCCAATTCGGTCATGTCGAACCAGGGTGTACCTGTTGCGCCAATAACGAATCAGTTGTTGTCGGGATGTGATTATAATGTCCGCGGCGGCCGTGTTTTTGCTGTGTCGGCCGCCCTCGCGGCGGACGCGTGTCCATCCCGGGCCGAACAATGAGCAGCAGCCGTCCTATGCCAAACGCCCACCGAGCGACGCGAAAACGAGAGTTGTTTCCCGCCTCCCGGCTTGCGTCGTCTGCATGCGCGTCAGCCGTTGCTCAACGGACTGGACCGCGGCCTGTGCGTATACCCTGAAATTACTGTAATTGTATCTGATCCAGAGCTTTTTGTTAAATCTTCAGAAGAGCTTCATCTCGTCTTCGAGGGGAAGATGAATGGTGAAAAGAAAAGGAAAGTGCGTTAAGATTTACGATAAGGGCTTTAATATTTTTTGGTTGCTAGAGTTGTGGCGTCCGCGGGGCTCTTCTAGCCGTGCCTGTCCGGACGGCAGACAGCCCGCTACGCTGCGCGCGTTAGATGTCGGGGTCGTCGTCATGTCGGGGGTGGCGGTCGTCTCCTGAGACTCGGCTCCTCACTTCTTGTAGACGGAGCTGGGGACGGACGGGGGCGTGGGCAGGTGGTCGCCAGCGGCGCGGAAGCCGAACTCGTCGGCCACCCAGTTGACGGAGTACTGCCTGCCGTCGGGGCCGGTGTACGAGTACGAGCCCTTCTTGGCGACGGCGGGGCCCTCGGAGCCGACGGTCAGGGCGCCCTCCTCAGTGTTGGTGATGCCGTTCTCGGTCTGGTAGCTGTGCAGAGAGAGGGGGAGGGGATATGTCGGAGTAAGTAGGGAGAGAGATGAAAGAATGTTGCGAGTTTCGCTGGGACGCTGAGGGTGCGGTATGAAGTACTCACTGCGCGCGGTAGGGTCCGCTGGGGTCGACCTCCTGGGTGTGCTTCAGGATGCGGTACTGGGGGCCGCTGAAGGAGGAGGCGTAAGAGCTGATGCCGTTCAGCTGGGGCTGGAAGGCAGTGGTGACCGGAGCCTGGGGAGGTAAAGACTCGACTGAGAAAAGACTGGTCTTCGCGGTGATCTCTGGGCGAGACTCACCGCGAGCCGTGCGCCGGGGCAGAGAAGCGACCGTTCACCACACAACGCACGTGTCAGCTGGGTTGCCTCCCTCTCGGCGCGCTTACCTGGTAGACGGATGGGGCGTTGTACACGAACGGGGTCTGCAGCAGCGCCTGGGGCTGCGCGTAGGCGGTGTTGACGACGGCGGGCTGCTCGTAGTACTCGCGGCGGTAGGCGGTGGCGGGCTGGAAGTACTGGGTGGCGGCCGGCTGGTAGAACTGTGTGTTGGCGGACTGGTAGTACTGGGCGCTGGCAGGCTGGGAGTACTTGGTGATGTAGGCGGCGCTGGGCTGCTGGTACTGGCTGCGGAAGGCGGTCGGCCTCTGCACCGTGCTGAAGTGGAACACGTTGTCGTGGTAGTCGGCGCGGGCGACGGCCGCCACCGCGAGCACACACAGAACCTGGAACGGTGATGGAACAGGTCCTAGTATTGCATCTTCCCGCAATATTGAACTAAATAGTTTTTACGGGAAGATATAAGATCTCGAAGCATTATTCCGAAGTAGGCAACCTCAAATTCGAAAGACATGATCTAATTCACTTCTTTCATGAGTTCCACATGGATAGGGCGAGTTATTCTAAAACACTCCTTGATCGACTTTCTAATTGTTAAGACACTCACGATCATCTTCATCTCTTCGACGGTTTCACACTGCACGACACTTCACAAAACACACGACACTCGCTCGAACTGGAGCTGGAGACGACTGTGACGACAAGCCGGCCCACCATCCTTTTTATAAGTGAAACATTCGATCTCCCGCCCCGGTGTGCGGTGGCGGTCCGAAAGCAAACAAACACAACAAAAAGTGCCGAGGATGAGCCGAGAGCCGCCCGTATGCCTTGTACGCGCACGCGTGCCCGACACCCGACGACGCCCCCCCACGACGCGCCCCCGCGCCCATGTCGGCCGCGAAACAGATCACACAAAAGTCGATCCTGAGCAGCACGTCGCCGTCCTCGTCGCTCCGCGCGGGGAAGCAACGGGGGAGAGAGTGAGAAGGACGGTGCGCATCAGCGGCGTTACATATTCGGCACGTTCACGGCCATGGTCAGTCGGGCCATTCCGCGTCTCTCCCACGCCCGCACGAGCGTCCACACTCACTTTCAGTAACGGTGACGGGTCGCCGCCTCCCTGCTCAGTTACTTTGTTCCGGCCGCTGGAAGTACGCCTCGTGCCGAGCGGGGTGGCAGCGGCATATGACGCCCCGTCATACCCTCTGGGGTGCACTCACCGGGAACCTCATGGCGTGTAGCTATGGTGGGTACTACCGGAGAGGTTGGCTGTTTGCTGTTGTGCGCGCAAGTCCCATGCTTCCCCGTTTTATAGAAGAGGTCTCGGCAGAATTCACCCGTCGGGGACCGTCAGCAGCAGCAGCCGGGCCATTTTTTTCCCTTCTTTCTCTATCTCTAATTAAAGTGTGCGGTGGTGTCCTTTTCTTCCGAGTTTATGTCCCTCCCTCAGGTGGCCCGCCGCCGCCGCGCCCGCGTTCTGGGAGGTGCCACAGGCCTCCCGGCACGAGATACACATATGCGGGCCACAGAGTGCGACAGTGACGTGCGTAGGTCCATCTTTGTCCATTCGCAACATTCCCAACGCAGCCGCTCGACCCATCCTCTCCAGCGACACGTCTCGCCGTGCGGACAAGCGACGCGGACGCAGCCGGAGATGAGATGAGCGGGCCACTCAGCTGACCTCCTGGTCGGGACACGGAGACTAAATCTTGATGCTCGCGCTCGTGCGCGCGCGCTAACTTATCACACCCACTGACAGAAATTTGCAAGCAGGACGCCAGCAGCATGGGTGAGGCCAGAGTGAGGCGCGGTGCCACATTTTTTGTGAGGATCCTCTTCCTTGTGCGAAATAACAAACTGAAATGTCAGTGGATCATCCAACCTATACCAATGTACCATGTACGTATTCAGGAGGTTTACGCCGCCTATGTGTGAGCCATTTTATTGGTATAAAGAAGATCGGATTGAACATCACAATAACTTCTTTCCGGAAATTGTCTGCAAAATCAATTGAAAACCAATTTCCGAAAAACAGTTGAAGCGTGTGTTACACCAGTCCTTATCCTAAAGAAACCAAACCCCAAACACACACGCACGGCATCGGAATTTGTCTCGCGAGAAGCTTGAAAGATCACCATTTTTGAGTGTCGGAAGTGTATTTAACGCGCAGCTGTGATATACGAGAACCAGTTTATTTATTTGCCATTGAGCCTGGTAAAATCATGAGGATTCTCTAAGGTATCGCACAGAAAGTGCGTTCACTTTCTCATGTTCATTTCGGCAAGTTACGGAAGCTCGGCGCCTGCGAGGTTGAGGTTGGGCCACCCCGCAGTACAAGCATGCACTGCAGGCAAGATATTGCCTATCTACCAGGCGCTATGAGACCTTGCCGATGCAGGACTTGTCAGGCTCGTGACGGCGAATGCCGGGTGTAATTTCTGCTGAATGATCCACAATGGTAGCATCATTAGGGTAAAACATGAAAGTTTCATGTCGGGCATTTTGTGGATACTGTGTCCGATACCGCGCCAGTGCAGGATGGGTAAAGCCACCTTTTTATAAGGGGAGAGAGTGGAAAGGTGATTCCAAAGGGCTAAGAAAATGAGTGAGCTTATTGGTAAAGCGGAAAGCAGTTAAACTTGTTTACGTTTCACATAATGCTTTTTGTTTATTTAATACTTTGGCAGTGTGTTCTCCGATTCGGAGAAAAATATCGGATGCACAGACGAATGTCGCCCTTAATGGAATCACAGTTGTCGGATCTACTTCTGAAGAAGTCTGCCCTCGTCGTCGTACTGCTCGCCGCTGGCCGCGTTCTCCTCCAGAGACCTGAGGATCTCGGCGGGGATTGGGGGAGGGGTGGGCAAGTGGTCGCCCACGGCCCTGAAGCCGT